TTGTTTTGTTGGTGGGGGGGGGGGGGGGGGGGGGAGGGGTCATATATTTAAATACATGTATATTATATATAGTATATCAAAAGCATTCAAAAGTTAAAACTCAACTTTTAGTGCTTGCTTATAGTCTGTCTGGAAAACTTAAATTATATATTTTATATTATATAGTATAGTAATAAAGAAGTATGAATGATAATTAAAATAATAGTAAGAAATTAGAGCATAAAGGGATTGGATTTAGACAAACTTTCCGGGTGCAATATGTTTGCTTAGATTTCAAGCATCTTTATACTCCTTGAAGGAATTTATTCCCAAAAAATGAATATATTCTTCCTTCTCCACCCCCCAACCCCCTACCCCTCTTACCTTTCTTTATATGTTTGGAATTTTAGAAAGCTCTAGCACCCTACTTACCCTTTTTTTTTTTTCCCTATATGACTCTTCTTAGGTTGAGAGGTTCAAGGTTCTTAACCATATATTACTTACATCCATTCCAATGAATAAATATTGCCTCCCAAATTGATCTTGAATCATATTGATATCATGAATACAAATGTTTGAACTATTAAATTGATTTGTTGTAAAGAGTTAAATAGTATTATATATATGGAAAATGGTTTAAAATATTTTTGGACAATCGAAAAGGTATAAATATACTCTTCATTCGTGTATTTTGCTAAAAATATTTATGGTTATGCCCTTTGACTAAAGGTCAATATATTGAATTTAATGTTGGTAAAGACTTAAACACTTTTTGTTAATATTAGAACCGTCAAATTGGCTTAGTCCATAGGGCCGGCCCAACCCAACCCGTTATTGGGGTAGGGTTGGGATATGATTTTTCAAGCCCATTTAAAACTAGGGCTTATAAGCCCGACTCATATAAGCCCTTGGCTCTTGAGGCTTGATCAGGATCGGACCGGGGTCGGCCCATGGGCCAAAATTATTTATTTAAGGGTAACTTACAGAAATTTTACTAGTGTATGAGCTAATTACTTAGATGCACGCTATGTTGCAATATTATGAATCTTACCAAATTTTTGTGTGTCCAGATACATGTATCTCGGGATATATGAGTTCAAAATTAGGTGTAATTTATTTTGGATACACTATCCATGTGGATTTGCGTGTATCTAGGATACATAGAAAAATCCCGCGCCCTCGCCTCCCTCTCATCTCGCTCGCCACTCTCTTATCTCACTTACGTATCTGGGATACATCACACCAGATACATGTATCTCGCGTATTTAGTATCCTAGATACATGCTAATCACACTCGATTTTTTGCTAGTGTTATTGAAACAACACCACTATTTGCCATATTTGATTTGAAAATCTTCTCATTTTCTTGATGTTACAAAATTTTAAGTTTGAAAAGAAAAAAAGATGGGCTAGTCCGCCCCAGCCTGCAGCCTTTCTAGGGTTGGGTTGGGTAGGACATTTTCAGGCCCTTCCAAATGAAGGGCCGGTCCGCCCCAGCCCATAAAATTCCTTGACCCATGAGGCTTGGGCCGCTGGGGATGGGCTGACCTTTTTATACAACTCTAGTTAATATGCATATTTATTGTAGCTAAAAACTGTTTTTGTTATAGTGTATGCAGCGGTGGACTTGACTACGAAGTGTTGGGCTACTCTTTCAGGCGCATTAGGTTTTTTTAAAAATTATAGACGTTTAGCTCAAATTAAAAGGATAGTTTGATAATTTAACTTTTAAGTTAGGAGTCTCACGTTTTAATATAATAAAATTCAGGATAATGTCAAATCCAAATGATATTTTCCATTTACATTTATAATTCAGGAAATGACATATTCCTTTATGGAAGAGAAGCGTCGAAGTAGTCCAAAACATACATGCATCCACCTAAATATTTTGTTCAAAATTACAAAACTTCAATCTTATTTATCTTGAACTTTTCCATGCAAGAAAAATGGATCAAAAACCTAATTTAGTCTTCATTTCATCTATTGATCAATAGTAGATGAATTGGCATCCATCGAAACCTGTTCAAGTTAAGAGAAAACGATTGCATTCAGATGTGCATTCAGATTCAGACGTGTTAATCTTAATGAAAGCAAATAAGGTCTTACTAGGATCAACGGTTACAAGTATAGCTGTCCCTCCAAAGTCACAAGTGCCACCAGCCATTTTAGTTCTTTGCCAATAGCTATTAAATGCATAAGATGCATGTGCAAATAAAGTATCAGGCTGATAACATGACCCATTGGGCCGAAGTTGATCACAATCTGCCCCAGATGCACAAGCATAATTCATAGCTTCTTGTATTATTGGATCCGGTACTGACGGCTTCGCCACACACCATAGAGCAATAGCATCTGCGATGTGTGGTGGAGGAGGCACTGCCGGTGGTGGATACACCACCGGCGGTAGGAAATACCCTGTTGGTGGGATAATTGGGACATTATAACTTGGTGGATTAATTGGGACATACCTTGGTGGACTAGGTTCATAATAATAAGGTGGACTAAAAATAGGTTGTGTTGGGCTAGGAACATTTGTGGGAGGATTAGGTGAAACATATTGGGGTGTGTTGGGAATTATAATGGGAGGAAGAAATTGGGGTGGTGGGCTTGGGATTATAATTGGGCCAGATGATGGGCTTGAAGGCTGGTTTATAATTGGGCCATATGATGGGCTTGGAGGTTGGTTTATAATTGGGCCATATGATGGGCTTGTAGGTTGGTTTATAATTGGGCCAGAATTTCCATTGGCTGGTGGTGGATTGACACAATAAGGTGTTGTTGGGGTATTTGGTATTGGAGGAAGAGAATCATAAGGTGGTAAATTGAAGGGAGAACCAACACCATAGGATGAACCAGCCATAGGTAAATACATGTCAAAATGTTTCAAACCATTGATTTTGATAATTTCTTGTGAACTTTGTGACATTCCACTTAATTTTATAGCATCTGTTTCACATGTACAAGTGCAAAATAATAGAGTAAGTAGCATATAGAAGCACTAAGCTGGGATATACACAAGACGATATTTAAACTTGTATAAGATAAGATGAATAAGTAGACAAGTGTCCTACGTGGCGTCTCACACGAATTGTCATGTAGGAGTAGGACATGTGTGTCTATTTGTTCAACTTTATATAAGTTTACGTTTCTATTTATGCATGCATGTCTAAAGTTGAAGACCATAAATGTTATCAGTCTTTGTAAGTCTACACAATATATAGTGTCAAGTGATATAATTAATGTGAGAATACATATTACTGATGATTTTAAATTTTATGCATTGATGATAAAAAGGAGTACTAATTTGTATAATCAAATCACTTATAAAGTAATTACAGATAAATCTTTTTACAAAGTAAAAGAGGTAGTTGTTCATCTAAGTTATTATTACTAGTGTAGCAAATTTTACAAGTCAACTGTATATAACTCATTACATCTTTATTATATCATGTTAAGTTATAAAAAAATATGCAAAAGATAGAGTATATCTTATATTCATTATTTTAGTGCGTATATATACGGAATGTGAACAACTTTTTCCGCTATACAGAGAGGATTATACTATACAAATGTAAAATAAATGTTATTTTTTTCAAATGTGATGATACAAATAATTGTTAAGGTTAATTTGTCTATTTTTCTTAAATTTCTTACCCAATCAAACACTTTCGCAGAAGGAGTAATTGACTTTGTTGGTAAAGAGTAGAATGTACATACCAGTATATATGATGAAGAAAGCTCCAAGACACAAAAGAAGGCTTAAAACGTATAGCATATTGGAGTGACAATGAACTGATATTTTCATGAATATTTCCGCTGGAGAAAATAAATATATTAATTGTTATTTTTTAAGGAGCGTATCAGATTCAAACGTGATAAGTAAAAGTGAACAGAGAAAGTAATATATACTACTAATTAATTAGTGTGGAAGATTATATTCTTTGATTTCCTTGGGGGTTATGTGTGCTTGAAGAAATGCACAAACAATATATGAGGAAAGTGCAATGTGATCATTATTCTTATTAGTGTATTATTTCTTCATTTTATTTTTGTTAATTAGTTTCTCCACATGTGTGTATGTCAAGTCACATAGTAAATAATTTGTCACTGTTAATATTATTAAACTAAAATTTAAAAATAATTATACAGTAAATTAAGAAAAAAAATACAATTTATTTTGTGAATGATCAAAGTGATTTGATTGATGGTGTCAAGCTAATTAGTATAGTTTGAACTTACAAAGATGAATAATAGGTAAATTAATTAGATATACATGTGATTCTTTTACTTTTTACTTTAATTTATGAAGTAGAAACATGTAATATCATAAAAATAATTTTTAACGGTAATAATATGTACATTAATAAAGAGTGTTAAAATCTTACCAACATTAGTTAATTTTCTTTGAATTTCATGTCGCTATAGACTTTAGAAATATTTACGCTCTTTAAATTTAAAAATATATTTAGCGACAATTAAGCTATTATCATTAAGTAATTGCCACTAAAAATAATTTTTGTATAATACTAACAAATTCTTCCTTATAAATTATATTTCTAGTATATGTTTCTTTTGTCCATTTCAATTAGTAAGTGCTAAGGTAGTGATATACCAACTAGTAACAATAACTATTTAGCATTTTAATCATGTAAACTATCTGTATATATGAAATTGTTATTTTTATTTTTGTTTGTTTATTTGACCTTTGCTTCAAAATTATCTTAATTTACTTCTTTAGATGAAATTTTTTTTTTATAAAAAAAATTCATTATCTAAGCGATTTAAATAATTTTAGAAAAATTAGATGACAACATTATATTTAAGATAAAAATAGTTTGCAAAATGTGTAATATTCTAGTCATCTTATTAAACAATTTGTGTTTAGTTTCTATTTGAGACTTTCCAAAGATGCATATTTAAAAAATATTTATATCATAATATTAAGTGTAGTTTTTTTATATTACGGGGTGTAAGTGTTTGGTCTTAAGAATACAAGAACTGTATCGAAAATTGAGTTATATTCTAAGTATTTTTTTGTGTAATTAATCTTTTTTTTTATGGCTCACATCCTCTAAAATATATTTCTTTTATTTTTAGGTCAATATTCTATTTTTATCGTAATCCAAAAGCATATCAAATTGAATTGAAACAGAGAATATGATAAATATGATTTCATACCTCTTTCGATTTCACAAATAAAAATATCTCTGACTCTATCTATAGTCTATCAAATGGACGCTTCACATTTTAAAAAATCATTTCTCTTTATCTCCTTTTATTATTGACTCATTAATGAGAAGGTTTCTTGAAATAACCCCATCAAAAATGAAATAAATTATTTAAATTAGTAAAAAGAATATTTAGATAATTTAAACTTCTAAGTTTAAGGTTTAACATAACATAGAGTCTTCAACCATGTAATAGTTATCTAAATAGTAGAGTACGTCTACTTGTGTTATTTTCTTAGACATAAGTGATTACTATTTAATTATGTCATTGTATAACAAAATATACATAGCATCAACATAAAAAAGTCATATGTTTAAGCTAATTTGAAGATTTCAACAATAAGAAAAAGGCAATAAACAGACCATAATCTAAGTCACTTCAACACAAATATTATCATTTTTATGCAAATTAATTAGAGTGGCTTACTTGGCTACTGGGAGAGAATAGAGATGATGATCTTCTCAAGGCAAGAGGTTGCAACTTATTATTCAAGGAGAAACTAATTACTCAATTTCACAACCTTTTAAGGCATTGATGCTTGCCTTGACATCCCAAAAGAAGGCCTAAAGTGTGACTTTTCTTTTGCTTGCTTTCTACTCAACTCATCTTTTTTTTTTTTTTTTTTTTTTTTTTTTTTTTTTTGTGAATGAATATATAGGTGTGACTCTTAATGAAGGCGCACATTTGATAGAGTGTATAAGAATTAAGCATGATGTGTTTGTTGGGATTCGTACGCACGTCTACTTTTTACTTCCAATAAGCCAAGAAATTAAGTTTTTAAAATGAGAAGACCATTACTGTAATTTAACATTTTTGATAGGGGCGTTTGATAGAGTGTATAACAAATAGTGCTGAATAAAGAGTGTTATTAATGTTGAGATTAATTATGCTAGAATTATTTCTTATCAATTGGTTGATTTGGTGTATTAAGGACAATTTTGTCTTCAACTATGTTTATCCATATGTTAATAATCCTTATATTGTTAACACTATGATTTACTATGTGTTAATTATACACTCTATGATACTGAATACAATGTATAACTAATATATATATATATATATATATTATTTTTTATAATACATCCTACTGACTCCTTAAAAAATTCTAGCTTTTATAATAATATTAATAGATAGATTCATAGTTTACTACTACTTCTCTGTGTCAGGGTGTTTTTAGGACAGCATCATGTTGAAGGTGCATATACACAATTGCCAAAATTAATATGGGATATATGCTTGCCTTGACATCCCAAAAGAAAACCCAAAGTTGGTCTTTTCTTTTGCTTGCTTTCTACTCAACAACTCTCCCTATTATCTTTTTACATCTCAAAATTATATAGATCACAAAGCAAATACCCACTCCCTGGCCAAACCCAAAAGGGGGGAAAAGGCAATATCATATTCCTTGCATGAATATCAGAAGCTACCCACACAGGAAAAGACATAGTGTTAGTAATCATTAAAAGAGCACTAAACTTGTTTTTCTAAACTGAAATAATGGATCAATCAAGAAAATAATCAAATTCATCTTTCTTAGGACAATTCGGTGCATTAAACTTTTACTATGTGCAAAGTTTGAAAAAGGATCAGATCATAAGCGTCTATTGTATGCAATCTTATTAGGACCGTCTCAACAAAGATTGAAGGCCTAAAGCCAAATTTTATAGAGATGCCTTTATTCATTTATTTATTTATCTTTTGTAGTTGACATATATAAATTGAAAAACAATAGCATACTCAGTGTAATCCTATAAGTGAGATTTGGAGGGTAGAATGTACTCAGGCCTTATGAATTAAGAATGTAATCAATGCAAATTTTTAATACAAAAATATAATATAAAATTAGAACAATAAAACCTGACTAATTGATAATTATATCGAAATAATATTGTGTTGAATTTGATAAGCTGGTATATAACGATATATTGAAATAATGTTGATTTATTGTCGTGCTTGAAATTGGAAGAAGACACCAAAATTTTCTTAGACTTTTTTTTGTAAATAGACAACAATAGATTTTGCATAATGCAAGTTTGGTAGACTTCCAAATATTCAATAATAAGTGAAAGGAAATGAAAAATGTAAATATAGAAATAATAATATGGTTTTGTGTTAATTGGCATGATATAAATGAGACAACAAAATAGGTAGCCACGTAAAAAAAGATACTACAATTACCTAAAAACTATTCCATTTCTCTTTTCAAATTTAATGATACATGGGATATTTTTTGGGCCTGTGATCCTCTCCTCGAGGGGAATATATAATGATGGAGTTAGTTTTCGTTTCATTGTAGGTCAAATTTTGACCTGATTTTCTATTCAAATTTTTATGACATCGATCGGTATGGGTATTGTTAGTCCCGTATTGACGTGCAGTTTTTGTTTTTGATAGTATGGTATTAGAGCTCTAGGTTCACTGGACTTGCTTGTACAAAATCAAGTGTCTAGTATTGTCTCACATATCAGTACAATGACGTCCGTATACTATCATTTGGAGGCTATAGGGGCATTCTTAGGAATACTTCACTTTTCTTGGTTACTTTTGGGCCCTAATTGTATATTTTGTATCGTTATGTATGTCTATGCTATGGCCCTATACTATGTCTATTTGACTTCCACATAGTTATATTCGTTTTAGTTTATCAACTTGTTGTTGGGTTTTGACTGGCCTACTGGGGTTAATGGTAGACGTCATCATGATTTGATATCAAATTATGGCACCAGGCTACCTGAATATATACTCTACAAACAACATCTAATAACTAATAACACCCTAGATAAATTGAAGTCCTTCAAAAGCAAGAAGGTCTCACCAAAACTTGTTGGGAAAGGCAATGCACTAACAAGAATGCCAGATAGGATAGCAGCGGAATAATACCCAAATCTAAACTTTCCCTTTCAATTTGAACCAAGAGAAGACAAACCAATCAAGCAATATGAAGAATGGACAGCAAGTATATCAACCAAACTAAAGCAACAAGATAAGAATAAACCAATCACACAAGACACAACAATTTACGTG